TTGTTCTATCTTCAATGCAAAATAGTTTTTATTAAAACTTAACGTGATTAGAGAAAAAGAGAGGAAGTACTTGTTCAAGAGAGTACACAGGAGGTCCCAGATAGATAATATAGTGGGTAGGGCAATTCCTTGCCTGCCACCAATCCAGGTTTGAACCCCTGGCATCCCATATGGTCCCCTGAGCACCTCCATGTGTGGCCCAAAACCCCAAAATAGAGAGGGATGTTGGGAGAGAGATGGACAGTCTCACAGACTCAGGCTTCACCAGGGTGGAAAAAGCAAGCAAGGATACAGAGAGAGAAGCAAGTGAGGTATGGATTCAAGGGAAAACTGACTTAAAGAGAAGAGCAAGCCCATTAGTAATACACACTTTAAAATTGCAAGAGGGACCTTAGGAGATTGCTCCCAGGGGGGCTGAAATGCACATTTTGCAGTTCTAGGAAATAGACTCTGCAGTAGAAATTTGAGCCTCTTTCATTTCCAGAGTTGAAGAAATCACACTTTAACTTCGCTTCTTTTCTACCAAAGAACAACATAAAGCTAGGTGTCTCAGAGTTAACATGTGTGGTGAATAGTAGTAGGAAGAATTTATTTTCTACCAAGTTTTTGCCTTTTTGGGGAAAAAAATGACACCAATTATGGGTGATAAGATTTTCACATGCTAGCATCTTGACGTGTTCCGTTTGATTTTCCTTTTCTAATGTATGCTGTGGTTTTGTTTTGGAAATAACTCCTGTTAGTCTTAATAATTATAAGCATCTGTTCATTGTATCCAAACATATCCCTTAGAACCTGAGAGCATGTGAAAGTTATTTCAAAAGATTTTCCACACCTAGGAGCTTATTATAGAATGTGTTGTGATTAAACTTGGAAATCAATCCATGTATGTTCAGTTTACAACTACGTTCTTTGGGAAAACTCTGAATTTGAGGGTGAACTGAAGAGGAGAAAATGATTGTGCTATCTCAGTGTGTACCAAGAGTGATTTTGAAGCTATTTTTGGGTATGGTCTTGGAGGCTCTCCTGAACACTTTTTATAGCTTCGGATAGAGCTGCTACTACTTTGCATAACGAGAGTTTGCATTTGGGGCTTTTGGAACCAAGTTTTCTTTTTACTCTCTATCATCCTTTTGAAAAAGACTTTCTGAAAAATATCATGACCTCTGGGGAAAAAGGAAAGGAGCACAAGAAAAGGAAGACAGAAGTGAGGAGAGGGCGAAGTTCAAGGAGCTACCCTTGAATTCTTCCTATAGTTCCTTAGGATTTTCCCTGAACTTGAAGACTAGCCTCTAGGTGGGGGCTTCATTATTGCAACTTGAGAGCTTTTAGACTTAAGGTCTAGCATTTCAGTTTCTTTTTCTTTTTTGCTTTTTTGGTCACACCCAGCGATGCATAGGGGTTACTCCTGGCTCTGCGCTCAGGAATTGCCCCTGATGGTGCTCAGGGGACCATACGGGATGCTGGGAATTGAACCTGGGTTGGCTGCTTGCAAGGCAAACGCCCTCTGTTGCTCCAGCCCCAAGCATTTCAGTTTCTTACTTGCCCTTGCATTCCCACAATTAAAATAAATAAACTAATTTTGAATTCAAGTATTAACTGAACTACTTTGAGTATGAGCTTCACATGTTTGGGAGGGGAAAGGCATTTTTTAAAATATGCATCTTGTGACTCAGTATATAACTGTGCTGACAGTAAGTTTTTTGTTTTGTTAAGACTATGCATGGTAGTCTGTGGAATGAGATAGTGTAGGTGATCTTTTTTTTTTCTTTTCTTTTCTTTTTGGGTCACACCGGCAGTATTTGGGGGTTACTCCTGGTGGTACTTGGAGGACCGTGTGGGATGCCAGGATCGAACCCAGGTTGGCGGCATGCAAGGCAAACACCCTACCCACTGTACTGTCGCTCCACCCCCGAATTACTTTTTTTTTTTCCTTTTTGGGTCACACCTGGCAATGCTCAGGGGTTAACTCCTGGCTTTGCACTCAGGAATCACTCCTGGCAATGCTCAGGGAACCAAACATATGAGATGCTGGGAATCGAACCTGCGTTGGCTGCGTGCGAGGCAAACGCCCTACCTGCTGTGCTATCACTCCAGCCCCTGCCCCCAAATTACTCAAGTGAGGGCAGTGTAAATCCAATATTTGTAAAATATTTGGACCACACCCAGCGGGGCTTGGGGGTACCATATGGGTTGCCAAGGATTAAACCTGAGTTGACTGTGCCAGGCTAGTGCCCTGCTCACTGTACCATCTTCCTGGCCTCACAACTACAATGTTCTTAGTGTTTTTCAGTATTTTTGCATTTGTGTTTGTTTTTGAGCCACTTACGATGAAGGATTTGGAGGCTACTTCTAAAAGTTGCTTGGGGGTATTGCTCCCCGACATGCTGGGGACCCAAGCTGTGCTGGGATTAAACCTAAAGTTCCAGAATGCAAGCATATGATCCTATCCTTTATGCTTTCTTCCCTGCCTTCATCCAGTGTTTTTCATACTAAAAAGTTTATAAACCCAGTTATCAGAATTTTTTTTTTTGACTGCACATACCTACTTAAGATGTGAAATATAGGGGCTAGCACAGTAGTACAACGGGTAAGGTACTAGCCTTGCATGCAGCCAGCCCATGTTCCTTTACTGGCATCCCATGCACCTGGTCCGCCATGCACTCACTTCCAGGAGTAATTCCTAAGTGCAGAGGCAAGAGTAACCCTCAAGCACTGCTAGGCATGGCCCAAAAAGGGTGGTGGTGGTGGAGATGTGAAATATGTTCTATGAATATATAGACTTAGACACACTCTTGCCAGTTTATTTACTGTTAACATTTTTTTCCTGTTTAAAAAATCATTTCTAAATTAATTTCTTACCTCTCTGAATACGTTTCTTTCTTCCCCTAAAATGCGCAATTCCAATTCCGAATAACACTGCTCTAATTACATTAAAAAAGACGTTCTTAGGGTTTATTTCTTGTTCTTGTAACAAAATAAGTTCTTAACAAGTATGTATTGAACATCTATGGTGCGAGGCACAGTTCCAAGTGCTAAGGATATAGCAGTGAATAAAACAGACTGAAACGTCTCCTTTTATGGAGCTTCTATTCTGAACAAAGTAAGTGAGGTATGTAATATGCCAGTGGTGGAGCTGTGGAGATAGTGAGCAGAGATAGGAGTGTGGTGGACAGGGTGGAATGGGGGAGGCACACACTTTGTGGACTGAATAAAGAACTTAGGAGTGGAAGGAGAGTGCCATATAGTTTAGGGGAAGTCCAACTGCAAAACGTCTTGGATACACACCTGGCAGGTTGAAGAACTGAAAAGCATCCAGTCTGTCAGGGCAAAGTGAGCCGAGTAGGAGTAAGAGAAGCATGCTGGGGTATGCAAGAGAGGTGGGTGGAGCGAAGAGATCATATCCAGAGCCTTTGGGCAGCAGGGCCTTGTTACAAGGCTTTCCAAAGGATCTGTGTAATCCAGGGGCTGGGGAAGCAGGGTCAGAGACAGAACAAACCAGGAATATGTTGCATCGAAAGAGGGCAGTTAAAGATAGAAGATCAGAAGCAAGATGTGTGAATCTGGAGAGGCTTGCACAGAGTATGTGGTGTGGGGGAGGCAAGGAGAGAGATGCCAGCGCTGTGTCCTTGAGAGGGTGAGGAATGGGTAAGGCCTGCTCAGAGCAGGGTATGCGGTTTCATTCAGTCACCGAGAAGGCAGAGCACAGGCATGCAGATGGCAGGTGGCTGTACAGTGCAGTGGTCGAATCTAATGAAAGACTAGAGCTTCCTAAAATAGGAAGCAGAGTCTTGTGAGCCAAAGGCAGGAATGAGTTTGGAGATGTGGAAGCTTGGTAAGAGGCAGAAGAATGTTATTTAGCAGAAAGGGACATGGAAAGGAGAACTAAAGATTGTTGACCCTTTGAGGTTCATTTTTAGAGACTAGCCAGGTTGGTAGTATATGGTTCTCTAGCCTTAATGAGGTGCCTGGCCCTTGTTCTTCATTCCATTTGTGTCATTTCTCCCTCTCGCCATTTTCATTGAGGCACGGTGATTACGATAATATTAACAATAGTATCATGCATATAATGTTCAAAATCACCCTTCTCCCCTCGACCCCAATTATATTTTTTTCTGAGGGAAGATTTTTCATGAGTTTTAAAAAACTAAATTGTTGGGCTAGAGAGATGACGTAGAGTAAGGTGTTTGCCTTGAACCCTGGTGCAGTACCATGTACAGTGCATTGAGCACTGCCAGGTGTGGCCCCAATACAAAAATAACCCCTATTTATGTACTATGTTTAGTATTTTGGATCAGCTCATGACTTCATACATGTGATGCATGTGCTCTACCACTGAGCTTTATCTCTGATCGAACTTTACTTTTTGTGAGTGGGGAGGACTCCCAGTCCCTTTGTTTTACCATTTTTGGAGGGTGGGAGGATGTTTCTCCCAACTAAGCTCAGGCAGCTGGAGGCCTTTCCTAGGTGTTTCTTGGTCAGCTGAGCCATGTGGGTGATTAAATGCAAGGCTGAGGATTGTGGCCCTATATTACATGGGCCAAATCTATTTACAGGGGCCTCCTAAACCATGTGACACTGGGGTCCTCCAGTATTTATGCCATCAATATTTGCTTGCAGTTGTATTTAGCTCCTTGTGATTATTTAAATGATCTTTCATTGGATATCTTCATTTTTATAAGCTAAAAAAAAAAAAACAATGGTTGGAAAGATCTGTTACTGAGAGGTTTCAATTCCTAGAGATAATTTTCTAAATTTTTTTTTGTTTTTGGCCACACCTGGCCTTGCTCAAGGGTTACTCTTGGCTCTGTCCTTAGAAATTACTCCTGGTGGTGCTCAGGGAACCTTATAGGATGCCAGCGATCAAACCTGGTTTGGCTGGGTGCTAGGCAAATGCTACCTGCTGTACCTGTTGTATTCTCCGTAGCCCCCAAGTTTTCTAATTTTTTTGTGTTTAGCAGTGACTTTTTTTTTCACAAATGTTTTATGTTTTTCTGTTGTAGGAAACCCAGCGTTTGCTGGCAGAACCAGTTCCTGGCATTAAAGCAGAACCAGATGAGAGCAACGCCCGTTATTTTCATGTGGTCATTGCTGGCCCCCAGGATTCCCCCTTTGAGGGAGGGACTTTTAAACTTGAACTATTCCTTCCAGAAGAATACCCAATGGCAGCCCCTAAAGTACGTTTTATGACCAAAATTTATCATCCTAATGTAGACAAGTTGGGAAGAATATGTTTAGATATTTTGAAAGGTAAGTGTTCATCTTTATGTGTTATTAAGATTACTCCTTTATTCTAAAGTTCCATATGAGAATCTTGAGCCTTATATAAAGACTCAAGGAGATGTGGGAGGGAAATGCAGCAGTGCTGAAGCAATTTCTTTTTGCTTAATCATTCTGGATTTCGTTACCTTCATAGATAAGTGGTCCCCAGCTCTGCAGATCCGCACAGTTCTGCTATCGATCCAGGCTTTGTTAAGTGCTCCCAATCCAGATGATCCATTAGCAAATGATGTAGCGGAGCAGTGGAAGACCAACGAAGCCCAAGCCATAGAAACAGGTATTTCATACTTACTCAGTTGTTTTCCTTCCAGTCTCTCCCGGCCCCTGCAATGTGAGGGATTGAACCTCAGCCTTTTGCTTCACTTTTGAACAAATTTATACTACTATGCAACAAAACAAAAAAACTCTTTTTTTGTTTGTTTTGTTCTTACACCATTCCCAATGATGCTCAGGGATTACTCCTGGCCCTGCACTCAGGGATCACTCCTTGTAGGGCTTAGGGGATCATATGGGATGCCAGTTTGAACCTAGGTCAGCCACATGCAAGGCAGTGCCCTAACCCCTGTATTATTGCTGGCTCTCTTTGTTTTTAACAACAAATGCATAAGCAGAACATATATAGAAAAAATACATCAGATCCGGATTATTGCATGTAAAATGCCTTTTATGTTTAAGCTCTATCATCTGAAATATAGGTTATCATATTTGATAAAAATGATATAGGAAATAAGATAATATCACTTAACATGATTGAGAGATCTTGGATTCTCTCTATAAAATATATGATAATATATTTATATAATATCTACACACACATAATTGATCTAACAGCTACCTGTAACTACCTGTTTCCTATCCACCTAGCAATACGTAAAGTAATGGAAACTTTAACTTTTTTCTGGGCGCGGATACTAGGGAGTGAACCTAAGCTCATACCTGTAAGGCAAGCCTTCGACCACTGTGCTGCTCCCCAGACCAAGTGTTTTGTTTTGAGAGTTTTTTGGGTATATGTGTGTCTTTGTGGCTGGACTATTCCCAGCTCTAGGGGTAGTGCCAGGAAGGGAACCCAGCTTTATCTCCTGGGGATGAGCCCAGGTCTCCCACATGCAAAGTATGTACTTAGCCTGTTAAGCTTCTCTTCAATCTTCTTTTGAAGAGGGAGATTTTTCCTTTTACAAATTGATTAAATGTTGCATTTTAGTTGAAAGTGTTTGAACTCAGTAAGCTTCTTGAAATAACTTTTAGCATAATTAGGGAGAATATATATATTTCTTATATATTTAGAAATATAGAAGACTTTCTGGTTAATTTTTCCCTTTATATTTTAACTATATAAACAGTGTGGTTTGCAAAGTTGTTTATAGTACAACTGTTTTAGGCATTCAGTGTTCAACACCAATCTGTTCTGGTTAATTTTTAAAAACTTCTGAAGTTCATTTTAGTGTTTTGCTAATTGCACATAGACAGTATTTAAGAGGTTTAGCACATTTTCCTAATTAATATTTACTTTTGTATAGATTTTGGAAAGTTAACAGAGGAAGCAAAATAATAATTGCATGTTTGTTTTTATCTACAGCTAGAGCATGGACTAGGCTATATGCCATGAATAATATTTAAATCGATCTGATCATCAAGTGTGCATCACTTCTCCTGTTCTGCCAAGACTTCTTCCTTTTTTGTTTGCATTTAATGGACACAGTCTTAGAAACATTACAGAATAAAAGCCCAGACATCTTCAGTCCTTTGGTGATTAAATGCACATTAGCAAATCTATGTCTTGTCCTGATTCACTGTTGTAAAAGCATGAGCAGAGGCTAGAAGTATCATCGGGATTGTTGTGAAACGTTTAAAAGCAGTGACCCTCACTGCTTTTATTCATTTCCCCCATCATGGTTTAAGTATAAAGCACTGTGAATGAAGGTAGTTGTCAGGGTTAGCTGCAGGGGTGTGGGTGTTTTTCTTTATTTTATTTTTTTTTTTGAGGGGGGGGAAGGTAGTTTTATATTTTATGGCTCCTTTCCCCCTTATTATGGTGATCTAATTGCATTGGTTAAAAGCAGCTAACCAGTTCTTTAGAATATACTCTCTAGCCAAGTCTAACTTTATTTAGACGCTGTAGATGGACAAGCTTGATTGTTTGAACCAAAATGGGAACATTAAACAAACATCACAGCCCTCACTAATAAGATTGTGACTTTGCTGTCAAGTGTAGAATCCTCCCTTCAAGAAAAAGCTTGTGACCATTTTGTATGGCTTGTCTGGAAACTTCTGTAAATCTTATGTTTTAGTAAAATATTTTTTGTTATTCTACTTTGCCTTTGTAGAGTTTATTTTACTGTGTTTATTTCATCTTCCCAGTGTGACAATCGTATTTAAAAAAATTAAAGCTGATGGACCATTCTGAAATTGAATGGCAAGAGATGGATTTTTCCCCCACCGATGCAAATTTGTGTCACAATATCACTGAATGGAGTATTTATAAGCTGCCCCTGAGCATGCATAATGCATCAGTATCTGACTTCTTTTTTCAACCCCCTAGAAATTTGAATTAAATGTTTTTGTGTTATCTAATTTAGGTGACCTTTGGTGTCTTACCACAGTGCTTGAAAATTACAGGAGAATCACAACAAAGCAGCAGTTGTGACTGAGTTTCACCATGTGTTTTGCCATGTTTGTGTCTGGCGTTTGGGTTACAATCTTTCCCTTAGTTCTTGTCTGAAAACTTTGTGTAGAACCAACCTCTGGTGTGTATTTTTAGGAAACATCATTCTGATCATCACTTGGCGATTTGCTGAGCTATTTGAGTCTTCCTTATATACCTGACGAGCAGATCTCAAGCAACCAGCTGGCACTTAAGTGTCATCACCAGAAGGGTTCCGATGCCAGCACGACTCCTGCAGTCAATGAATCTTGGCATTCATCCCTCTAGTATTTGTGATGGGAGCTCCTTTTATTTTGATACCTGGTAAATTGTATCTGCATTGATAGAATCTCTGCCCTCCAGATTTTTTTAACTGTTATTTCTCATCACTCTTAATTCCTAATTTTTGTCATTTTAAAGTCATCACTGTAGCCAGTATGTATAATTGTGAACTGCAGGTTGGAGTCGTTTCTCTTGCAGTTGAAGGTAATGGATATTATGGTCCATCTGAATTTTCCCCACTCTTATTCACGTAACTTCTGGAGTTTCTTCAGAATGTGGTGTATTTTATTGTGTTCCTATGTAAGATGAATTATCTATTAAAATTACATTTTCAACATACAGGAGTTTTTAATGACTGGTAACTGGTTCCCCGCCAAATATGCATTGCTTGGAAACAAGTGTTAGTATAATTCAGTTGTCCTTTATAACTTACAAGGTATTTTGCAGCCAAGGAAACAATCTGATTCTTGTCAGGGACCCAAATCAATGAAAATTCAAGTCGTTGAATAGAGACAAGCTTTTATTTTCTTCTAGGTGCCACTATTTCTGATGATTGTATGATAATGGTGTACGGCTTATAAATTTCCAGACAAATCTGTTGCACCACTAAAATCTCAAATAGGACTGTGGTATCTATTGAGTTTGTGAATCACAAAAGTGTAGAAATGAACTGAGTTAATGTTATTTCGAATGGATTTGTAATTTCCAGGCATGATTTTTCTCCCCTTTGCTTTGATGAGTCCCCATTGTTCTTTTTTTTTTTCTTTCCCTCATTTTGTGGGATGAAAGAGCCAATATCTTGACTGGTTACTTCTCAGGGAAGAGATCGGAGCAGCTGGCAGCAGCACCAGGCTTTTGGGCCTGCGTCCCTTGTTGCACCCAGTGTGATTGATCAAAACGTACTCATTCAGTGTTGAGTACTGAAACGGAGTAATTCGCATGAAAGCCCTAGCAGTCTGGTAACTTGGAGGATCTGACGATCCAGTTGCAGCAGACATGACTCCTCATCAGGCATGATGGCACTTGCTAGGAGCAGCAACCACCCCAAGTAGAACTTGTCATTCTTCTCTTATTCACCCTGCCCATGACCCGTAGATAATCCTGTTCCCTTATAAAACCTCCGGATGAAGGAAAGTGTTTAACAAACATATTTCATATATGCTCAACACTATTTTGGAGGGGGTGGTGGTAAGGTGAATGGCCCTGCTTCCAGAGATGCACTGTGTTGTCTTTTGATGACAGCGGCACGGGTGGGGCCGATGCTGGATGGATAACCAGCAACTACAGCTCAGCTTGGAGAAGAAAGGACTGGGGGGGTGAGGTATGCCATGGTCAGGGCATTGTGCAGTTCACACGGGAACAATAGCTAGAGCTGCAGGAGAGGAAATGAACCTGATAAATGACTTTTTGCAAAGTAAGCTCCGTCTATAGAGCTTTTCTGAAATTTTGGTATTGATAAGAGCTTACTTTTAATTAAATTTTTAAAATTTGGTCTTAGTCTATTTTGCTGCGATTTGCTGCTACACAAGATATTAGTAGTTCACAGATGCTGCCGAGTAAGATGCTGGGTCTGAAGTAAAGAGAATTTAATCTTTCTCTAGGTCAGAAACATTTCAGAAGCACTTAAAACACAAATCAATATACAAAAGCACTATTAAAGGCTAGCGGGGAAGAAACTGATATCCTGTAACAGTTTTCAATGTTCTGCAGAACTGGTGTTTGAAGATCACTGTCCTCTTAAGACATCCTGAATACAATTTTAGCTGAATGGAACTAAATGTTGCTAAGGGGATAATGGGGATTGGTTTCACTTTCAAGTTTTTCTCTCTGGTGGATGGCGCAGGAAGATGCTTTGGTTCTTTTTGTTTGTTTGGTTACTCTAGCCACATCAGGGTTTATTTTTTTTTCTCATTGCAAAGATTTAAATTTTTCAAAAAGGTAACAGCCTTAGCTAGAAAAACTGGCCAAAAATAATTTTAAAAGCCATGACCTAGTTTATCAGTCTATTTAAGAAAAAAATGTAATTTCACTGGAAAAAAATAATGTATTTGGGGACTGGGGCAACATTTCATTTAGCTCTTTAGCATGCCTGTCTAAGGAATTATATCAGGGGTTTATTTTTAAATGATCACAAGAGCAAAATATGTTGAATGTAATAACTTGAAAGAAATATAAAGAATAAAGACCTGTAATCTACCACCAAGACTGGTGATATTTTTTCTGTTCTCTTAGCCCTGCACTAATTTTAATGTTGCAATTGGATACTGCGAGGATTTATTCCAAGTGCTTGCTTCGCTCCGCTTTAACTTACAAATTGGATCTGAGAGACAGACGCTGGACTAAAATTTTTCCTGTTTAAATCCAGACTTGACCATGAAGAGTTTGGGTCCTCCCTTCCCCCTAGTTCTGTCTGCTAGGCCTGCAGCTGGTCTCATTTTCTGTGTAGCTCTGGGGCAAATGTTTGGAATTATACTTGAAGCTAGGCTCAGGCTCTGTTAACTCTATGGGATTGTTTTGGTTGCTTAGTGATCACAGATAAAAGCAAAAAGTAACAGCTAAATTTTTATTGCGGGTGAGGGGTTTTATCACCACATCCAGCTGTGTTGTGGGCTTACTCCTGGCTTAGTGCTCAGGGATTACTCCTGGTGGTCTATATGTGGTGCTGGGGGGTCAAACGGGGTTGGCTGTGGAAGGCAAAAGTCATACCCCTTTACTGCCTTGCCCCACTGCTGAATTTTTGGTTATTTTCCTTCACAGTAGATCCCTCATCTTAGTATGTTTTTATGATGCTTGTGAAGGAACTTTAAGATTCAATTAGAGTAAATAACCCTGTTTTTACCAATTAAAGAATCTTTTGCTGCCAAGGGCCATTGGGATGTAGAACATCATTCCCATACAATCCAAACAGATGGTGGCCCAGGTCACATGACTTTAAATGACTTTGTATAATGGCCCACAGGAATACACTTTCAACGCCTGATTTAGAGTAGCATGTTTCATTAATTCTGATCTAGTCTAACCTGGCTTATGACTTTCGAAATAGCTTCATGATCTAGATGAATAAATCCCAATAGTTCTTAAATTTCATTCTTACCTAGAAAGCTTCCGAGTTTTGGCTTAATTTCAAAGGTAAGACTAAGGCTTAGACATGTCAATAGCCTCTTAGCTGTGACACTTAAAGTTGTTGGTTTGAATAGACTAGATTGGAACTTGGTGCTGTTTTCCTCAAGTTTTGGCAAGATTTTTAGCAACTGAATGAGCAAGTAGCATTTGCAGGTTTTTGCTTCTAAAACAGTATTTGTGCTATGTGGGCCAATTAACTGCAACAAATGGACATCTGGATTCAGGGGCCATAATGGTAGTACAATGGGTAGTGCCTTGATATGACCAACCCAAGTTTGATACCCAGCACCACATACGGTCTCAACAGCACTGCCAGGAGTCACCTCTGAGTGTAGAGCCAGAAGTAAGCCCTGAGCACAGCCGGTGTGGCCCCCAAACAAAACTTTTATTTTAAGTAAAAGGGGGAGAGAGGATGGTAGATAACTTAAAGGCCAAATCATCCTGTTTTCTTGCAGCCCCCAAACTCTGAAGGTCTTACATTTAAGTAGTTGAAAATACTTTTTGAAAAAATTGTAAGCTTTAACTCACTCCAGTAACTAAAATTTGTGTGGTTTCCTTTGTCCCTTTGATAGTAATATTTACACATAGGATAAAAGTTACATATAGGTCAGGCTGGGGGGTAGGGTGTTTGCCTTGCACACAGCCACCCTGGGTTCGATTCCCAGCATCCCATATGGTCCCCTAAGCACCGCCAGGAGTAATTCTTGAGTGCATGAGCCAGGAGTAACCCCTCTGTATTGCTGGGTGTGACCCAAAAAACAAAAAAAGTTACATATAGGTCAAGCATTTATTGTGCCGGATTTTTTTCCTGTAAAATTACTGGGTACTGGGGAAAAAGCATTAGTACTTGCCTTGCACAAAGCAGATCCACGTTTGGTTTCTGGCACCCCAAGGACTTAGTATAATCTGAGCAGCTTCAGGAGTAACCCCTGAGCACCTCTGGGTGTGGCCCAGTTCTCCCACCCCCAACAAATAATAAAATTTTGAAATCACAAACATGAATGTATTACACAGATCTTAAACTGATCCATGCTGACTTTCAATAAGTGACCTTGGGAGTGGTGGGGTTGAAAAAAAAAAGTAACCTTGGTGCCAGAGATAGCACTAGGGATGAGGCACACACAAGTGACCTTAGTTCATTCTCTGGTACCACATGGTCTGGAGCACTGCCAGGTATGCCTCAAAGACTGTCCCCTCTCCACAATACAAAATAAAGTGGCCTTTATGCTGTCTATGTATGGAGGAAAGGCAACGGCAACACATCCTTGGTAACCGACTAGGACTGTTCTGCAATATGTATCTGTGACTATTTTCATATAATGTGCATATTATTTTTGGACTAAGTTTCTATGAGAATTGCAGGTTGCAAGTTATGTGCACTTTAGATTTTGAGCGATAGGTGGAGCGATAGCACAGCGGTAGGGCATTCGCCTTACAAGCGGCCAACATGGCCGACCTGAGTTCGATTCCTCCACCCCTCTCGGAGAGCCCGGCAAGCTACCGAGAGTATTCGATATGCCAAACACAGTAACAACAAAGTCTCCAATGGAGACGTTACTGGGCCCGCTCGAGCAAATCGACGATCAACGGGAGGGCCTTTACCTTTACCTTTAGATTTTGATGACTATGCAAAAAGCCTGTACTTTTTTTTTTTTGCTTTCTGGGTCACACCTGGAGATGCTCAGGGGTTACTTCTGGCTCTGCACTCAGAAATTAATTGCTCCTGGGCAGTGCTCTAACCTGGGGCTGGCTACATGCCCTGTAAATACCGTACCTGCTGTACCACTCTGGCCCCAAGCCTCTGTACCACTTTACCTATCTAGACCTGAGTCTTGTTTTTGTGCTGCACGTTATTTGCTCAGTGATTACTCCTAGCTCTGCAGTCACCACTCCTGGTGGTGTTCAGGTGCTTGGACCTGGGTCAGTCATATGTAAGGCAAGCCCCCTTCCCACTGTATGAGTTGCTCCAGCCCCAACTGAGTCCTTTTTATATCTATTCCATTATAGGCATATTTTGCAAGTTGACAATTACCTCTGTCTCTGGGCACTTTATTCCCTTACTGTGCCATTATCGTTGCTATGAAGCATACCTAAGTCTTTCCCCTGTTCTGTGAATTTAGTTGGACTCCTATTGCGTTCAAAGTTCTTTATGGTTGATTTATGGCCATTTTTTCAAAAATAAACGATAGATGTTTTACAATGCTATTAATGTGTTTTACAATGTTATTAAACACATTAACATAGTGTTTAATAACACCCGAGAAATTTGATGGCCTGTGAGGATGTTAAATGTAAAAAGGTGAAATATAAGGCCAGAGATAGTGCTGGGGTTAAGGTGGCTCTAGCCCTGGTACCACATCTTGAACATAGTTGGGTGTAGCCTAAAAATCAAAAGAAAACATGGAAGTGTAACTTGACAGTAGCACAGACAATGTAGCTTTTCAAGTGGACAAATTTGCTCTACAATTCCATATGGAACAGTATTTGGCTGGCAGGGGGAATATTCTTAAGCACTTGAAGATGAAACGTACTTGAAAAAGCTAGCTATATTTTATGGACTGTGAACACCTAGGTAGTAAGTCCGTTGTTTTTAAGGGCAAACATGTTCTGTGCTGTATTTCCAACTGATGATGGGTAGAAGAAAGCACATTCGGATTGTGAACTGGTATCAGAAAGTCCTAGAATCTCTGGCCCTCTGAGCACTGGAGGCATCTTCCCCCACCTCTACCCAAACCCCCACCCTCCATATGAAACAAGTATTGGCTGGAAACTTGCCAATAAAGTGCATTACTGCTACAAGGAATTTAGCGTCATACTCTCAGCCAATCTACAAAATTCTCCAAAAGACCTGTAGAGAAATTTTTGTATTTCAGTGTTTCATTGGAAAATGCTTTTTGCTTTTGGACCACAGCTGGCAGCGCTTAGGGGTTTGTGCTCAATGCTCAGGTTTGCTCCTGGAACTGTGGTGCTTGGGAAAGACTCAGCGCCTCTTGCACGCTCCAGGTATTTCTCCAGTCCCAACATCAAATTTGTTGTGTTGCCCCATCCCCTCCTATTTAACCGGCCGAACCAGGTTTGATTCCTCCACCCCTCTCGGAGAGCCTGGCAAGCTCCCCGTGATGTAATCGATATGCCAAACACAAGTCTCACAATGAAGACTGGGCCCGTTGGAAAAAAAATCGATGAACAATGGGAGGACAGTGCTACATCAGAAAGCAAACGAGATTTAGGGGGGTTGAACTTGGACGAGCATCTCAAAGCTGATGTTTGGTCTGCAGGGTGCTTTATTAAAAAAAAAAAAGCTGCAGCAATTTATGGTAGTGTAGAAAGTGTACCTCAGTCAAGTTTTTGATAACTTCCAAGAGCTCTTATTTTCTATGTAGTATTTTTCTTGGGATACAGGGCCGGGGAAGAACAGCAATAAAATAGGATGCACCTTAAGTACATTACTAAATTAAATTGATGTCTAATGTAAAAGATACCTACTCGGTGATGGTGACATCTTACTAAGGATCATGAAAGGATGTTTTGTAGATGTACTAACAGAATGTATATGGATGTCAATGGGAGAAACAGCCAAGTTGTTAACTCCAAATTATCAACTTGAATCTGGTTCATTTGTTTTAAGAAGGCTCCAAAAAACAATGTTTCCTTTTTTTTATTTGATGCTTCCAAATATATATATATGTATATATATTTATAAAAGTCAAGATTCTTAACACCATTTCAAATAAGACCATGCAAAACAATTTGAAGTGTGTGCAACATTACTTCCCCCCTTTGGTTTTGCTGCGTTATGCAACTGTGATTGGCAGAAAATTGATTGCTATGTGCCTGGGTGGGAAATGCCAATCAGGAAAAAAATAATTCTGATCACAAACACAAAGTTGCTTGTTACTTTGTGCCCCAAAATAAATGTAGCTACTAGTTTTGCTTTCCATACAGGAGGCATGTGGGAACCATAAAGCAGTAGTTGTCCAATTTTACCCAACTACACCACCAAAAAAAGTACAAGTGACTGTGTCCCATTTTAGAGGGTGGAGAGTCAACAGGATTTGTTGCAATAGATTAAACTG